ACCCCTCCTTTGGGGGCAGCCCCCTGGGATTGAGGTGCAGTTCTCAGACCCAACCTGTGGAATTATTTCATCTCTGGGTTTGTCCGCTGAATTTAGACCCCCCTCCCTTTCAGTGCACCTCCGGCCTCTTGGCAGGGGAACTTTTGAAAAGTTTGAGGACCCGAAAAAGAACTGGCACTGGGAGTCCACCACGTAAACAGGCAAAGAAATGGTTTGACTGGTCAGTAAGTGGCCAGAGAAGAAGTCGTCTGTGGAAGGTCACAGAAACCTCAGGGATTGGGCCATGGCGGGAAATAAAGTTATAGACAAGTTAAAGCCTTTTCTTTTCTCTATTTTCTATCTCCTTTTTGTTTCTGTTTCTCTATTTCTATTTTCTCTCTATTTCTCTGTCTCGATTCTATTTTCTGTTCTCTTCCATTGATACCTTTTATTCTGGTTTTTGCACTTGCTAAAATCCTGCCGTGGTGGGAGTGCACCTGATCTTAAACTGTATGACCCTCTCCATCCCATCCCTTCTGTAATCCCATGGGGGATTTCCTAGATGTTTTCTAAGACCCCTTCAACTCTTACGTTCCATGGAAGCGGGTGACTCCTTCAGCGTTTCAGGCGAGCATCTTCCATCTGATCTGGAGTCATGCACCTTTCCAGGATGATCTCAGGAATCTACCGTAGTGACCAAATTCAAATCTGCTTGCTTCTTTTAAACCCTCGCTTCTGTCTGATGATTGACCATGATCCAGGGAGCTCTAATCCTACCCCCGTGGTTGGAAATCCATTCGATCCCCCAGACCACCCTGCTGACATAATTAGGGGCTGCCCGTTCTCTAATAAAACCTGAAAAATACTACTTCTTCTTTTTTTTAAAGGAAATGAGTAGCTTTTTGTCCTGCGTGGTTTTTGTCCCGGAGCAAACCCCACCGTTTTATGGAGCCTAGAGTGAGTTTGGGCTCTATGCTTTGGGAATTTCGTTCTCTGCTAAAATAAGAAATGGGTTTTCTGTACAGATGCCTCTAAAATGACTTGATTTCCCCATTGCAGCAATAACATTTGGGAAGGGTCCTGGGTAAATGGTGGGTACCTGTCCGTAAAATGGGTCAATGGCTTTAGAACAGGTTGGAACACGCATGGCTCTCCTTCGTAATACAGGAATTCTGATATCTAACGCCAGACATATCATGTTAGGTTATACAAAATGGCTTTTGGGCCCATTTAGCACTGCATTGTCCCCTCGGTGATTGTTGTTTTCCAGAATCTTGAGCAGAGAATGGCCGTTTTGGTAAAATGGCCTTTTTTAAAGAGGGGGGCCAAGCCCTGAACTCTAGGTCTTTGTAAAGCCGGTGTAAATATTTCAAAGCATTCTCTGTACAAAAACATAATTAATGCAATAGACCAAAGTAATAGCAGCAGGTGTGCATTTGTGTGTGTGTGTGTGGTTGTGTATGTGCTCCTTCCTATTGTGGTGCAGTTGATGCTGTAAGACGTCGTGAGGGTGGGAAGGTAGACCTTAGAAAAAGCGCTTTTGAAGATGTGCATGTTAAGCCAATTCTCACAACCTCTTCTTTCTTTAGGCTCCCCCTTAGCATACCCGCCCTCATGCACAACATTTTCTGATTGTTTTGACCGCCTGGTATTTTTTAAAATTTTTTTTAGCAAAACAGTCCCTTTCTCTGCCCAGTTTTGGCTCCCAGCTGCCCCTCCCCAGTGGAATATCATCTTTGCTGACGCGGCGATTGACATCAAGATGGTGTTCTACCAAGATTCACACCCTTCTTTTCTGTTTTGCTTGCTCAGGAGAAAGAAAGGAACGCTCGGAGAAAGAAGAAAAAGGCCCCTGTGGTCCAAAACGAGGAAAGACCTTTTCCCCCCGTGGCTGAGGACGAGGAGATGGGGCAAGATGGGTCGGGCACCAGTGGCAACGAGGAGGAAATGGCCGAGGAGGTCGAGACGGAAGGTAAGATGTTCATCCTCAGGATGAAGCTGAATCTCTTGGCCTGTTTTTGCTTAGACAAATAAGCAAATGGGCGGCATCTTTCTTCCACTGAAGGAAAGAGTTTGGGTAGCCTTAAATGTCACTGTCTGCAAGATGAGTAAAGGGCAGGGCAACCCCACGCCAGAGATGCGTGGCAGAGAAGCAGATGGGCAGAAACGCAGGCTTTGGTCATGCAGGACCTCCCGAGAACTAACTTCGGTGTCAGACGTCGCTCGCCTGGAGAAATAGCAAGAACCCTGAAGCTCTGAGAAGTAGATTTATTATAAGAAAGGCAGGGAAGCCATTGTGAAAGAATTCTGGCGACGGCTGTCTATCAAACATGAGTTCAGTTTATAGCGACATCACGGTTCGAATTCTTGTGGCTTTTGAGTCTGAGAAATGGGTTCCACCTTCTCTTGTTTGGTAACGGACTGTGCTGTTATCAGGCTGTTTGTAATTAAGAACTGGCGCTCACCCTCCCTTATCTTGCTGAGTGTTTTCTTAGGAAACAGGGCATCTGAAGAGAAAACTGCCTATTAAATGCAGATGTGCTGCTGTTTACAGCAAGGACAACCCCATAACTATATGTTTTGCTGTTGAGCAGATGTTATGCCGTGGTTGAGCTCCTCGGCCTGTTTTCTAACTTGCTACGGTTGAGTGGCATATTGCAAACATTGCTCAGTTCTTTCCTGATTATTAGTTTTCTCCCTTCCTGGTATTGCTTTGTGTATTTAATACCCATAACCTCCCATCTATCTCCCCAGCACCTTGTTAGGACTTTCCTATGGCAGAAGAATGTGGGATGACCTTAAGGAAGGCACATAGGAGCCGTTAGGGGAGAGAAAATGACATTTCAGTCCTGGGAAAGGGGAACGAGTGAGAAAGAAACTCAAGATAAGCCCGCCTTGATTCTATTTGGTGTAAGGGGAGACAAAGGAAAGCTGTGGCAGGTTTTCAAGATGCTGTTGTGATACCCAATAACCACAAAGTAGCATTCCTGTAATCCTTAATATTTCTGTTTCTTCAGCTGGCCTGCCTCTAAGGGCTGACCTTTATGCTTTGAAGCCCGCCCAGGTTCTCTTCACCAACCTTAGTGGCTTCCATTGAATAGTATGTGGTGGCCCTAGGAAAAAACCAGAGCGTTGTAATGCTACAAGATGCTGATAAATACTAAGTACTACCAGATTTTCTGGAGAAGGGGCCAGAAATTACGTTTCCCAATTGTTACTTAACATGGCTCCTTGGTTTCATCTTTGGTAGTCATTGGTCCAGGTCAGTGTGGCATAAAGTGTTGGCTCATTGGCTAGTTGGCATCAGAGAGAGAGGGTATAAGAACAGAAAATGGAAATGATCAGTCGTCCCTGTTCTTCCTCGGGAACTGAGCCAGCAACTTGCAGAAGATGCTTGTAATTTATCGCAATCGCCCCATTTAACTTCCGTGGGAGCGATTGAATAACTTAACAGCCTCCGCCCCCAGCTCCAAAGAGAAGGACCGGCGGTGGCGTAGAGGCGGTTGAAAATCTCTTCCAGGCAGTGCTTAAAGGAACTCATTACAAAGCAGTTTTCAGGTAAATATTCTGGGTCAGAGAAGCAGGTGTGAGTCAGAAACGGTGGTGGGGGGATCTCATTCAGATGGGAATGCAACAGCTGGTTCAGAGGACACCCGGTACACATACATGATGTGTTTTGCAAGCACTCTGAGCGACAGCTGCTCCGGTTCGTCATAATTTAAGGCCAGGCGCTGAGACATCTGTCTTAGCTGGAGGGAGTGGATTGAAAGGGGTCTTTCAGTGGCCAAAGTGTCACAAGATCAGGAGAGTCACTCAGCCCTCTGCCTCGTCCCTTGGTTGTTTCACATTTGGGAGGTGTGTCGGTCCTGCGGGAACCGAGTCGTGAGCGTGCGCTGCCCACGAGCATTGCTTGCCCTGGGCCACCTTTCAGCGTTCCCGTTGGCATCGCTCAGCCTCTTGCGACGGATTCAAATTACCCAAGGCTGTTTCCCGGCGACCCGCTCAGCCCCTCCTAGGATTTCCCCAGATTGAAAAGTGCAAAAAAAAATTAAGAATTTAGTAGCAATCAAAGTGGAGCAAACCCAAGATCCTGCACGCTTTCCCAACTGAAATGGGGAGAGTGACATTTTTTTTCTCCTTTCTCTCTCTAACCAAATGTGGGCTAAATCTCTCCCAACCTAAGACAGATTCCTTTCTGGTTAGTTTTGGGGACAGGAAGAAGGGAATTGCTTTTCAGCAAATCTTGACAGGGAAATAAACATCAGCGATGCTCAGAATTCGGTTGGAGAAACGTATGAAACGGGCAGAGACCTCCCCAGACTGGGTGGCTACTATTCCCTGTTGAGTTGATTCAACCAGGGTTTCTCAAACTTGGCCTCTGTAAGACATGTGGACTTCAACTCCCAGAATCCCCCAGCCAGTCTGGGTGGACTTCAACTCCCAGAATCCCCCAGCCAGCCATGCTGGCTGGGAATTCTGGGAGTTGAAGTCCACATGTCTTCAAGTGGCCAAGTTTGAGAAACACTGATCCAACCTAAAGCCCCCCCCCAGCCCCCGTACTTCTGCCTTTCCCAAAATCTGGCTTTGGGGGAAATTCCTCCCCATCCTTTTTAAGACCTCTTCATCTCCCTCCCATAGTTTATTTGGAACCAGGTTCCAACAGACTTTCACACGCCTTGCTCTTTGGAGGGATCCTTGAGCACCTGAAGATTTCCAAATAAGTTTCAGGAAGTGGTGAGATCATTTCCTTCCCCCTCTACCCCACTGCCAAGCCCGGGGCTCCGGCTCCCTCCCTCCATTCGGCCTCCCCTCGCGGCGGCTGCAGCAATCTCCATTTTAAAGCGCACCCGTACATTCCCTGCATCCTTGTGGTGCCTTTTTGGATTCAATCCCGGAGCTGGGGTGGAGTATGGAACTCCGTTCCCTTTGCTCCACCAGAATTTGAAACTCTTCTGGGGCAAGCCAAAAAGGATATATAAAGATACACGTTATAAGCTTTTCTTCCGTTGTGCCAGAAATTCCAGGTTCCGCGCCAAGCCGAGACACATTCTGTTCTCCAAACAAGCAAGGCGGTTTTAATTAAAATTGGGGAAGGTGCCTACCTAGATGAACATTGGTTTCACATGTGTGCGGGGCATTGTGCAACAAACCTGGGGAAATTGTCATGATGCAACCGGGCAACTTTTTAATAATGATGTTGCTGCAGAGTTCTGCACCTCCTTATCAAGTCAAATGTGCTGATGGCGTGGTCAGAACCTGCACAAGTTTGCCGGCGTGTTCACTTGACTCCCAAGAACTTCTCATCGAGAACCTTCTCCCCCCAAATCTAGGGTAATGTCCCCCCGTCCCATCCCCCTCATGTCAAGCTTGACTCCTGAGGACCACATGGAGCTGTTACCTGGTTCCAGAGTTGCAAGGTGTCCCCTGTTGTTTATGACCCCAAAAAGAGGACTTCAACCCTAGTTTTCTTGACCTTTCATTGTTCACGCTGAGCATTGTGCCCAGGTTTTACTACCACCCTGAGCTCAAAACAGACACCAACAAACAGCGTGAAACCTGCGGTTCTTTGGCTCCATTTCGGTCATCTTCATCTCGCCCTTTGTTTTCATGGAGAATTAGAGACATGTCCCTGTTTGGAGAACGTCAAGATTTACCCCCCAGCCCTGGTTCCAAAGTTGTAATTATTAACTTGATCCTGAAGCTCTGCTAGGTTCGTGGAGTGGGTTTTAAGGCTGCTGCTATTAATTTCCTACCGACCTTGACCTGCATTTCACTTCAGTGGGATTGCAGCTGTAAAGAACATAAAATCAAATTGGAAGGCTGTAGGACTTCTTCGCAGATGGGCAGATGGGAGGCTGTTAATTTTTTTTAGTTGGGTAGGGTTGGCAGCCCCTCACAAGGGCAGGCAGAATTACGTTGCCTTCCTCTTTCTGTGTTAAAGCGGGTGACCTTGAGGTAGGGACCATCTACCCAGATGCTTCAGAACAGGCGGAATTAATTTTAAAGGAAGAGGAAGAGATTCTCTGAAACCGTTATCGGATGCTTAGCAGACTCATTCTTAATTTCCAGGCTCATCTTTTTGACTTTCTGTGCCCTTGGTGTTAGTGGCATCCACTGTTGCCTCCATTCTGAGTTGCTCAAGGAGGTTCAGGAACTTGGTGGAGGGAGTTCTTTTGAAGAGCGAAGGGTCTTCATAGCCCAGGGAGGGGAGTAAATGGAGATGGATGCATAAGGGCTTGAATAATCACCATCCGTGGCTTGACTCAGAAAGAGCAATCCTGGTTTAACATGCTGAGCTAGATTCAGAAATTTTCACTAAGTGGCTTATGTGGCTTTAATCTGATTATTCAGTGTGTATTGGGGAAATCGAGCCAGTGGTAAATTAATCTAAAATTATGACTTAGCACGTTATGTGTCTGCTGACCAAGGACAAGCTCTCTCCCCATGCTGGTTCTATAGTTGTAAAATTCTTACATTGAACCAGAAACAGTGACTGACTTCACACATCACAGTAAACCAGGAACTTGAACCATGTTTGCTGGTTATGTGGTCTAGTTCCCACATAATGTTATCATAATTTTCCTGGCTGGACATCACTGAAAACGCTGGTTTAAGAAAACAAAGAAAAACCAACTCCTTTGCATCTAACCAAGCTCTACTATAAACTAAAGCTTATAGGAACAAGAAGTTCTTGGCTTTCAGGCAGAAATGCTCAGGCAGGCCGAGGGCAGTGCGTCCCAAGGCCAAACATATTCGTCTTTCTTTTTCTCTTCCGCAAACCACGGCAGATGCTGATATTGTTCTAGCTTACTTATTTATTTATTTATTCAATTTGTACAGTTTAGAATAGTTTAGAAACGACTTACTTTTGTTTCTTATATATATTTATTTATAGAATATTTTTGCTTATATTTACTTGTAGGATAGTTTAGAAACAACTTTTTTTTCCTTCCTAATCTGGAACCTTTTAGAATATTAATTTGAGGAGCTGGGGTGGGACAGGTCGCTTTGCTTCCGGTAAGGCTCACCTTTCAGATTACAGTGTTGAAAAATGATGAGTTTTTCTTACCGCTTCTGTACAGACAAAATGGAGATGGCTGTTGTATATTTATGAGTTTGAACATAGAGGCAGACAAGTTGGGGAGTCAGTTTCAGATCATTTAACAAAGAGAACGGGGAACTTCTGTCTGAATCTCTGATTAATTTGGCCCTCTTAAGAAACAGTCCAGCTAAGTGTATATTGTGCTTCGTCTCCTGCATATATACATTTGTAAGACAAAAGGACCCATGTTTTTTTCTAGCTTGTACCCATGAGCTAATAAGTAATAATGAGGGCCCAGATAATTCTGTGTATGGAGCACAAGAAAAATCCATGTGTGTGTGTGTGAATGCCCACCTTTTAAGACCTTTGGAAGGGAAGATGCTGATCAATTGCTGATCTGACACCATGGGTTTGGGGGGGGGCTTCTGATGGGTTTTGATGCCGGTGGATTGGCACGTGTCGTGTTTTAGTGTCGCTGTTAGTGATTTCTCTCTTGTTTCTATTTAGTAGACGGCTCCGCGAGGTTTTGCTTTGATGAAAAGCTGTGCACAGATCAAGAAGAATAGCCACAATTAAGACCCCCCACAGATGGTGGTAGCGTTGCAATAGGTGTGCTTGCAGCAAAAAGTTCCCCTCCTAAAAACAGTTAGTGTAATAATAACCAACGGGCCTAAAGAAAAGAAGATGGTCTTTGGTGGACAAGCCCGTAATGGTAGTTGAAAGCAATCATCTAAGCAGTGTTTTGCGCCGGGCCTATCAGATGTGACTCTTTGGCACCTAGGTAGAGAAGGAACCCTCTCTCATTCTGCTTGCAAAAATCAGAGGAAGCCTCTCTTCTCCGAAATCAACAGTCATAGCCCTTCTCTGGCTACCACTATTCAGAGTTAAATAATGCATTGCAATTCACTAGCTCGCTGCAATAAAATATTTTTTTAGGGCTCCTCTGGGAGGGCTTACTGTTTGTGTGTTGCAAATGGAACCTAGGCATCGAAATGAACAGTATGTCTTTTTGTTTAATTCCAGTTGCCGTTAATAACAGCTCAGACACAGAGAGCCTTCCTTCTCCAAGACTCGACACCAAAAAACCCCCAGAAAACGGGTCCAAACCGAATGCGGAGGCCGAAGAAGAAACAGCGGTCAACACGGAGAAAGCCACGACTTGCCCAGAAGCCAACGCCGTGGACTCTACTGGCCAGACGCTGGAGGGGAGCGACCCTGGTCCAGCTTGTAGTGAAAAACTGCAGGAGGAGCCCCAGGTTGATGCGGTGAAAACAGAAGATGCAGAGGAAAATCCTAAGGACGCAGAGCCGGATGGGGCTGAGATAAAAATGGAGGAAGGGGCAGAGGGTCAAGAAGGGGAAAAGGCCGATGACCAGAAGAGCGAGAGCAGTAATGGCGTGGGGACGGAGGCAGAGGAAGCCCCCAAGCCGGAGAAGAAGGAGAGCCAGAAAGCCAGCAAAACCGGGAGTGCTCACCCCGACAGTGATTCTAGTGCTACGTGTAGCGCGGACGAGATGGACGAGCAGGATCCCACCGACAAAACCAAGTAAGCAGAAAGACAGAGGGTCCCTGGAAGGGCGCAGATATCTCCGTGGAAAAGCTCCCGCACCATCTCAGGGTGCAAGCTTTTGCCACCCCTGAACATGTAGCGTTAGCACCTGCAAGCGGGCTAGCTTCCTTGTTCCTGCGCGGGATTAGGCGAGTCCTCTCCACGGAGAAGTTGTCCGATTTTCAGCAGTGGGACCCGGTTTGAGTCTACGTTTGGGGCTGATGCCGCCAGGGGGAGAGATCCCAGAGTGGCTGGGACTGGTCTGCTGGGCCCAAGGAGGGCGAGGGATTTTGTAGGTGGCAGCGTGGCAGGCATTATGGGATGGGATCGTGCCCTTCCCAAAGCTCACGTTTAGCCAAAGAGCTCCATTATGCATGCGTAACATTGAGTTTCTGGTGCTTCCTTCGGGATGATTCAGGTTTCTGAATACATTGGGTGGGGTGTATGGAAATGAGAGACAGGGAGAGGCGAATAGTAAAGTCTTGGTAAGTGTTTTGTTCTTTTCCTACAACCGTGAGAGCTATTGCTTGCAGAGTCCCATGCGTCAGGAAGGCAGGCAATGTGCATAGAGTCTCCTTGCTGAAAAACTAGAGCTTCCTCTGGATCAGAAGGACTGTAGATCTCTCCGGAACAGCTGGAAGCTGCCTCAGCAGGGCCTCCGTTCAGACCGGTGACTTCCAAAGGGCTGATTTATTGCCCTGATATTCTCAGAGAATTTTGCACGTGGCTAATGATTTGTGACACCTTGTGACGGCAGCTTTACGATGGATCGATGCCCGTCGTCCGGGGTTAAAGGAGGTCAGGCGCCGTGAGACGGTCACTTCCCATACCGTTGGCCGGTTCTCTGCAAGGATGACTGTCTGCCTCCCGTGGCTGAGAGGTGATTTAGTGCAGAGGTTCAGTCAATTTCCTTAAATGCCTCCATATTCTCAGGCAGACATTCATCAAGCAATGACTGACCAGGGCAGGAAAAACAAGAGCTCTGGGAGTACAAATTATTTCATTTTGGTGGAAGCCGGCCAGATACTCCCCACCCCCACCCCAAAATCCACACAGTAAAGACACAGCCATATTGTTAAACATCTGGGAAGATTAACTGCTATCTCCCTGGTAAGCATCTGCTCAATTTCTGACTCGAACGCTTTGGCTGTAATTTAAGGGTGATGGCAAATTTTGGAACCAGCAATTTAGGGGAAGCGCTCAAGATACTTTCTAAAATGAACGAAAGCAAGAAGGACACCTGTATGTTTTGTTTTACTTGGAGTTTTGCAAACGTTCAGGGGATCTTCGTCCCTCTGGGTTGGGGGCTTTTGTAACAGACCCAGCGTTGTTTCTTGGTCAATCCAGAAAGGGGCTTATAACTCTAGAGATTTAAATGCTGTGGCCCCCAGCCTCATTTCAAGAGCACTTTTCCCACTGTTTATTCCAATCCTTGACAAGAAGCTGTCTGGATCCATTGTTGCGGTTCTCCAAACACAGTTTTGGGTGTACAGATGTTTCATTGCCCTGCTTGGTAACATCATCTTTATTCATTTTTATTTATTTAAAAGATTTGTGCGGCTGCCCAACTCTGGGGGGCTCACATCAACAATAAAACCACAGAACCATAAAAGCATAGAACAAAAACCAGTCTGGCACTGAAACCAGTTGTTACCCAACATCACTGCCTGGTATGGTCACAAAACTTCTGCAACCCCAAAATGTAGCTCAGACCATTCCAGAAGTACAATATGCCAATCCTGAGTTACGCTTATTTGCTACCGTTGCCAAAAGCTGTTTCTTCTTGTGGGGAGGAAGAGAAGGAAAAGAGCGTGTTCGGATGAACGGAAGGAAACACATGTATATTTCCAATAAAGATGCTGGAGAGCTCCACCCACTTTTGACTCTGGCTCCTCCTCCCATTGGAATGTAATATGGCCTCCAGCAGATGATTCCCCCAAGAATGTGACTCTTGATGAAAAAAGGACGCCCAGCCCTTCTAGAAAAGGCTGCTTCTGCTCTGCTGTTTCTAGATCAGATCTTTTCATCCTTGCACAAACCATCTCCTCCAGCTTAGGTTGAGCACCTCACCACCACTTTCAAATCATTTTTGCCCCAGGAGATATCTGGTGGTTCACCAACACTTTGGCCATAGACTTCTTGATCTACTTCTGGTTTGCTACTGAGCATTCTCTAATGCAGTATTTCCCAACCTTGACAACTTTAAGATTGAAGGGTGGACTTCAACTCCCAGAATTCCCCAGCCAGCACATGGTTGAGAAACACTGCTCTAATGAGTCTATCTTCCGTTGCTTTGCTCAAAAGATAAGAATCTTTTTAAAGCCCAGAAGTGTCTCCTGGATCCCCCAGCTGGATGTAGCTTTGGAAGGGTCAAAAACAGAGTTACAAGCCAAGGAAAGCTCTTCCTTGTTTGCAGCTCTAGAATCAGATTATCCAAGCTAAGTGTGGAAGATTCCACCATGACGTTCTTGAATAAGAGGGAGATTCACCTTGCCTAGATGATCTGGGTCACAGGGTCAGTGGTGTGCAGGTTGTATATTTATTATTTTATTTTGTTTTGTTTAACAGATTGATATAAAACCCCTTAACAACATAACCCATACATACATGCCAGGTTCCATTAACATCCTGGCCCCAATGCCTGGGGGGAAGGCCATGTCTTCACGGCCTTCCCGGGAAGGCTTTAACAGCGTTCAGCTGTTTCGTAGGCTCCTCCTGGCTACTTCCAAGCCAAATTGAAGGTAAAAGGTCTTCAAAGATAATTATCTTTACATATATATTTTATAAAGGCTGCTGGCGGTGCTAGGAATAGAAGTTCAACCGTAGGTCATGCTAAATATAAATGAATACAGAAGACCTGTACAGTCATGCATTAACTGTTGTCAGTTTATCGCTAAGGGAAAAGCCAAAGATGTTAAGGGGGTAAAAGTGAGCGAGAATGCGCCAAGCAGAAATCTAATCCCATTTTCCTGGTGGTTTAAAGCCCCCTGGGATAACTTGGATGGTTGAGTCTGTTCCTCTTTCAGCCAGTTGCATGACCGTGACATTCCAACATGGTTGATCATCTTCTCCTATAAATCTCCAAAGCGTAGAAGTCATGCCATTATCTTCTGGCAACCTATCAAGGGGATGGGTCTGAGCACGAGGCCGTCAGCCATGTACCAAAAGGTTTTGCCCTGGTGGGATCAGCCCCAAAGACCCTAAACCCTTCTGATGGGGTCCCTGAGGGTCAAGAAGATGCTTGATTTCCTCATCTCTTAGCCCAAAGTGAAACCAGGGGAAGCCTGACAAAAGAGTTATCTAAGGACGCAAAGAGTTTAACTTTCAGCCAGGTCAGAGTTACTGGTCTGCGGTGGAACCAAATCCAGGTTGGCAGTACAGGAATAGCAGTGACCAGATCAGTGACATTCAGGGAGGAAAGACCAGGTTATGCCCTGGAAACTGGGGTAGAGCTTCCAAGTTAACAGGTTTACCAATCCCCTGGAACAATGCTATGTTCATGCAGACAGACAAACCACAGTCTTGTTGGCTAATAATAGATTTCCTTCAGCCCCAGTTTATAGCGTTCAGAGCAAACAAAGTTTGCAAACAAGGTGTGCTGTGGGTCTGGCCTTTGGTGGTGCTTGGCGTCTGACCCAGGAAACCGTTTTTCACTTTGACTGGATTTTCTTTGGCCCCCTTAAGACTCAAGTGGCCCGGATTCTTCTCTTGCAGGGGAGGTGGGCTTGGGATTCAGGGGGTGGGCCAGTCCTGACGGTGGATGTGCTCACTTCTCTCAGGGCTGGGATGGACCCAAAGAGCCCCCCGCCCCTTGGCAGAGAGAAGAGGGATATCACAATCCTCCTCCAAATGGCTTTACGAGTCAATTCAGAGTGAAGGAGAAGGCCTCTGTTCAAAGCTTCTTTTAGCCCTGCGTCCCAATGGCTTTTCTTGGTATTGTTGCTCGCCTAACCCACCTCACAGGGTTTCTGGGAGCAGGGAGGGGGGGATTTAAAAAATGCCCTTTCTTGAACATCAGATATTTCTCACTCTCCTGGTTTGCTTGTTAGGGTTGGGGTAGAAAAGCCCTTCCCCTCCAAAGCCTTCTGGGTGTGTGGTCGGAACAAGTCCCCCAATCTCCTGATCGCGAAGCAGTCTGGATTTCTGGGCCAAAGTGGTGTTTGGAACCGGATTCTCAAGCAGGGTTCTTGGTCTCCCTGCAGGTTGCCGGCTGCCCGCTTGAGTCTCCTCAATGCCCCCAACGATGCCCGGCTCAGCTCCTCACCTCAGAAGCCTCTGGACCTGAAGCAGCTGAAGCAGAGGGCTGCTGCCATCCCGCCCATCGTGAGTCACTCCTCCTTCTCCTTCCCCTTCTCCTTCTCCTTCTCCTTCTCCTTCTCTTCCTCTCCTTCTCCTCCTCCTCCTCCTCCTCCTCCTCCTCCTTCTCCTTCTCTTTCTCCTTCCCTCCCTCCCTCTTCCTCTTCTTTTCCTTCTCCTCCTCCTCCCTTCCCTCCCTCCCTCTCTCTTCCTCCTCCTCCTCCTCCTCCTCCTCCCTGTTCCTCATCTCCTTCCTTCCTTCCCTCTCCTTCCTTCCTTTTTTCCTTCCCTCTCTCAATGTATAAGGTCACCCACCTCTACAACAGCTTTGGACAGCATATGGTAAAAGCAGTCGTACAATACAATTAACCGCCCCCCCCCCAAAGCATCAGAAAGGAAACAACCCATAAAAGACAATCAGACACGCAGGATCCACCACCCGTTCTGGGCCAAGGCCTGGAGAAAGAAGCAGGGTTTCAGGGCTCTTTGGGACACGGCCGGGGTGGGGTGGGGTGCCAGGTGCATTGCAGGTGGGAGGGTGTTCCAGAAGGCAAGTGCTCTGGCTGAAGCCTCGAGAGGAATTCGTAGCCCCTGGCTGCGCTGGAAACCCGTGCTTTGGAAGAAGACAGGCCTGACCACCATTGGCTCGCTGAAGAATTGGGCACGGATGGGGTGGAATGGGAAGGTGTTGGTGGCTTCTGCAACATCTCCAAGTCGGACAAGGGGCCCCCAAGTCAAGAGGGCCCCGGGCGTGCTCTAGGAATAGCATCGCCAACTCAAGCGTTGCATGCACTTTGCCCTCCAGCTGCTCTTGGAATGAAAGAAGGGAGAGAAGAAATTCAGCGGTGCTAGAAATTTCTCCACCAAGGTCCTGAAGTGGGCTGGGGGGGCCATTGCCAAGGACATGACTCCACCCCGCCCCCCAGCTTCTCCTTTCCTCCTTTCCCCGCAGATTTCGGAAGGCGTGCTGGAGGGAGCGCTGCAGAGTGGGGCTGCGAAACCCCCGGTGCCGGCTCACGCCTTGGCCCTCTACCAGCAGCAGATCACCATGGCCCACGAGTGTGCCCAGGAGGACGCTGCGCCCAGCAAGCCGCTCCAGCTGCCTCCCCCCTCGGAGAAAGAGTCCCAGCTCGCCAGCAGCCCCCGGGGAGCTCAGCACCGGAGCCCTGCCGAGGCCGACAAGGACGGTGAGTGTGCTTTGGGGTGCAAGACCAGGCTGCTTGGAGAGATGCTCGGGAAGGAGAGGAACTTCATAGCCCGCTTCAGGGCAGGGCAAAACTCTGCTTTCTCCCCCTTGTAGGGAATCAGGGTTAACCTGGGGAAAAGGGGTGTCTCGACAGCCCCGTTTCAATGCCCAGAGGCAGGAGATCACTTTTATTCACCTTCCTGCTACTCGGGTGTTCGGAAAGGAGCAGCGCCAGGCCACGGGCAGACGGCTCTCCCGCCCTTCTTTACGGCTTTTAATGCTCAGCTGGACCCCACCTTTCACGTGCAATCAGCTGCAAGGCTTGCCGGAGCAATGCTTCTTGTAAAAGAGTCCTTTTTGCACTCAGGGCGGAAAGTAGTGAAGCTCCTCATGTAGGATTTACAGTTTTCCGTTCCCTCCCTCGGAGACGTCTCAGGTTTCAAAGGACAACAGCTTCGGGTTGACTTGTGTCGTCAAAGCTCTTGTTCTCGGAAAAGAGGCCGTTCTCCGTTTCTGCATCTCGGCCTCTTGGGGAGTTGGGGGCAAGGTATGGATCGGGCACACGTGGGCAAGCCTGGAAGTGTGTAAGCCCGCTACGGCCGCATGTCGGAAGACCAAGCAGAGGTTTCTAGGGATGGCCCTTGTTGCGGCCACTGACCAGCGCGATAAACCGCTTTGCAGTTAAAACGATGAATCCCACCTCGAAAGACAGAAGCAGTTTCTGTCAAATGACAGCAGATCTAAAACAATGCAAAGTATAGGCTAATCGTGAGAAGGCGGCACATTTTGCAAGGCAGGAACTTAAATACTTAGGTAATGTTAAGATCCCCCCCTCCCCCCGGTTGTCTGATTTGACAAAATATGATCCTATAAAACTCCTTAATGATTCCAGCAAAAGAGGAGATCTGTAGCTCAGGGTTGAACTGTGGAGTTCTTGGTGTTCTCTGAGCTTGGAGACGTTTCATTATCCAACTAGGTAACATCATCAGTGCGTCCAGGACTCCACCCCTTAATGAATATAATACTCAACCCTAAGCAGGATTTTCAAGAAGGCCCACCCCTTTCACTTCCTTCACCCCAGGTAGATAGAGCGTGGTCATCTTTTTTTCATCCCCCCCATCCCAAACAGCCTCCTCCTGATTTTAATGCCCTCTTTGCAACCTCCCCGCCTTTTGAGCAAAGCAGAGGGGGCTGGAGATGGGAATTCCAGCGTGAGAAGAAAGGTCAGTCTTGCTCTGGTGCACCCCAGATAATCTAGAAAGACTTGGCGAGTGAGTCACGCAAGCACATGTTGCATCTGTGACCTCGAGACACCCGCCCCCATCTGCCAACCATGTTGTTCCTGAACTGGACTTCCAGCCAAAGCATATTTTGGCAGACCTTCACCTCTCTTCCACAAAAAGCTTTGGAAGGTTTGGGAAACATTAGCATGTGGATCGTTCCCTTCTCCCCCCCCCCCGCCCCCCAGCAGCCTTTTTCCTCTTCCTTTTCTGTGTGCAGCAGCAAAGCTGCATCGTAGACAGGAAGAGGAGTGGATGGATTCAGAACAGTTGGCATTTCTTCTCTTTCGGGCCATACAGCTTCAGTGCAAGCTGCGCATTTCCTATTGATTTAGTTGCCCCCTTTTCACTTGGCCTTTTGAGGACGGCTGCCGAGCCAAGAATATTCATTTGGATGACAAATCGTATAAACAACATCTCCCTTGCTCCAATTCCAGGGCCTTGATAAATGACAGTAGTAACCTTCTTTCTGGGGATAAGTGCTATTTTATCAAGAAGGGCTTGAGTTATGACTCATCTTTAATGTACATCGTAAGGGAGGGGGAAAGCCAGAATAAAGTCAGCCATGGTTTAAACTTCAAAGCATTTTCTTCCCCAGTTGGGGCTTGAAGGGCTTTCTAGATACATGAAGAGCGTCTCTCATTTGACCCGGGAGGCCTAGAGACCCACCACGGATGGTAGACCATGGATAAGTAGCTGGCTTCCTCATGTCATGAATGGGATCTGCTCTAGATCTTTCTTGTCTCCTATTAGATAACCCCGGTTGGGTCAAGTAGTGAGAGCCATAAAACCAAATGTAGCGCCAGTGCAAGCTTTCCAACACAGTGGCTGTAATCCTCCTCAACCCACCCACTTGACTCTGGTTAACTATGTGTTTTCAGTCTGGATGCCTTCCATCTCTGGAGGCTTTTAAGAAGAAGCTGAACAGCCACCTCTCATGGATGGTTTAATTGGTTTTCTGGCATATTGCAGAGGGTTGGGTTGGATCAGGGTTTCTCAACCTTGGCGACTTGAAGTTGTGTGGACTTCAACTCCCAGAATTCCCCAGCCAGCATGATGGCTGGGGAATTCTGGGAGTTGAAGTCCACACAACTTCAAGTCGCCAAGGTTGAGAAACCGTGGGTTAGATGATTCTTGGGGATTCTACCAACTTAGAGTTCTGTGATTCAGATGGTGATTCAGTGGAGAAGACTCACCTGCTGGACTCAACATTTGGACTTTTTCGATATGGCAATTTTGGGTGCTCACCAAGGAGCTATTGTTCTGCATTCACGTGGCATCACCCACAAGGCAAAGCATAGACTTGAACTCTGGCTTTGGACCACCCCCAAAGCCTCTCTGGTATACTGGCCTTTTGCAGATGCCTATGAACTTCTTGGAAGGCCATAAAGTCTTTTATCATACCAAATAACTCTTCCAGGATTTTTGCATGGAGGCAGGGCAGGGCCTTAGATGGTTCAGTTTGTTCCTTTTCTTTGAAAGAAGCACTAAAGAAATGCTCGCCCTTTCTCTAATAAGCCCAAAGTCAATCTCTTTATCCGAGCATGGTCACTTTTAAGAAGAACTTCCTCATGAATGTATCTTCTCCATTGGATCAAGGCTTGGACTGCCACCTCGCCTGATTCAAGACCTCTCCGTTGTAAAGGCATTGTGAAAGGCCATAATTTCCACATCTCCGCCTGGGCCTGGCCTTAACCATCTCTGCAGGAGAGACATGGAGGTCCTGCTCCCATCTACAGCGTGGCAGACAGGGAATTACCAAGAAAAATGAGTATCAGCTAGAGACCTCTCCCCTGCCGATGTCCGCCTCTAAGCTATGCAGTTGACCAGCCTGTCTGCTCTGGTGCTGTCCTTGGGAAACTGCATCAAAACCACAGTTCAGGTTGTAAATCATGAAAGCTAAAGGAAAGCATGGATGTCACTTAGAATCCTTTCTTCAAAGCACAAGGCAGCCTTCCAAAAGCTGAAGGAGCTGCTCCGGAAGGTGCAGATGTTCTTGACTTCTCTCATTGCCGTCTCTTTCTCACATCTGCAGTGGGAGTCCTAGCACCAGCATGGAAGGGGGAGGGCCAGCCAGCCACTTTCTGCCCATAGAAAGCACAACAGGAAAGCTACTCTCTTGAAAATGTGGGCTGTTGGATTCCTCCAGAGACCTTCCTTGATGGAGCAGCACCCATTGAAGTCCTCAGAGCTCTGGTCCTTTGCCATGGCAAAATGAGCCAAGGACTTGAAGCCCCGCCTTGTGACTTAATGTTAGCTGCCTGTGGGAGGACTTGATTTCTTTTCTTAGCTTAGGGACACTCGGTAAATCTGCATTCGCATGAACAAAAGTAACACAAGCATTCTGTCCTTCCTTTGGGGAAGGTCCTGGAGGGCATCTTTCAAGCTTCCATTTTCTGCCCCCTTCTCTGACTCCAAGCTAAAGAAACTGAGCTCAGGACTGAAAGTTTTTTTTACCCTTCTTTACATATGAAATATTATTAGGGCTTCTCACTATGAAAACCAATGAAGGGCAACTCCAAAATAAGACACGCAGAAACACCAACAGTCTGAAAAACAAGGGTAATGGAGGCTCTTGCAATTAACTTTTGAAAAAGTTAGGCTCTTTCATTCTGACGCCAAATACTGTTCCAACAGCCCACTTTAAACAACAACAGGCTGCAAAACAGAATGGCAGCAGGCTCCATTGCAGTTAAAATTTCAAAATGTAACTCAAAGGTTCAGGTGTAAAGCAATGCATTTCAAGCTCATCGTAAAAGTTCTGCCTGCCTGTTAGATCTGTGGAGGCCTTGGGGTTCTCTGAGCTTGGTTCTTTTCTTGCAAACGTTTCATTACCCGGCTAGGTAGATCTGTGATGTTAGATCTGTGATGGCCCATTCACCCAACGAGGTTGATTTGGGGGCAGTTCAGCTGAATTAGCCAGTTGGGATTTCAATCTGGGTACTGCACCTCCAGTTTGGTGCAGTGCTGAACTAGAGGCCAGGAGACGGTGAGTTGCAGACCTTAGGCTCAAAGCCAGCTGGGTCCCTCTCTCAGCCCTCAGAAGATGGTAATAGGAAGCTAGTTCCAAAAATGTTGCCAAGAAAACTTCATGGATTCATCCATATGGTCTCCAGAAGTCAAGACTGCCTCAAGTGCATTACACACACACACACACACACACATCCAGTGATTTACTCATGAAATATACTGTACAATCTTCCTAAACTGGCCATTCTGACGTCCAGTTGTCTTGCTGTTTCTTTCCCCTTGTAGAAAAACCGGTGCTTTTCACCCCGCTTCCGGATGGGCAGAAGCCGGGTGGGGAATCTGCCATTACAACCTGTTGGCCACCAGTCCTTCCCTACCAAGGATCATCAAGAGATGTGATCCGAACCTCTCCGCACACTGAGTCTCATGCATTTCAGTATAACCCCTCTGGTGAGTCCAGCTCTTTGCTCCTAGGTTGGTGGTCTGAAATGTCCAGGGTTGTCAATGCCAATGGCTTTGGACAGATTGTAGTTCTTGGAGATGGTGAGTTGAAAGGTTGCTCCATGGGGTAGCCAAATTCCAAATCCAGGACAGAAGCAGAGAACAGCAGAATAAGGATTGTAAAAGAAATCCCATGTGGATCTTTAGATTTTTGGCTCAGTGGGACACAAGTGATGCAGACAGTCATGAGTTACTTGGGGCTGTGTAAGTTACAAATCCAAGTTTCTCATAACAAAGTAGGCAGATCTTTCTTAGAAAAAACTGATTTCAAATAGCTCTTGTATTGCTTTAATCTCTCTCTCTCTCTCTCTCTCTCTCCCTCTCTCTCTCCCTCTCTCTCTCCCTCTCCCTCTATACAGCAGGTCATTCCCTCTCCTTAAATGCTCATGACAATTCTCGGACTGGCCCACCAAGATTGTCAGCCATCTCCAATCCTCCTCCTCTGATCTCCAACAAGCATCCCTCTGTTCTTGAAAGAACCCCAGGCTGTATCGCCCAGGTAAGACTATAACCCAACTTTCTGAGCCTGGCCCACTTCCAGTAGATCAAGAGGAACAAGGAAATGGGCTCAAAGTATGGTTGCAACAATGCTTTGGTTGCTGTGTTCCCCCATAACAAGCTCTTTGATGGGATTTTCAGGGGGTGCCTCTACAGCTCCATGGTCCGTTCAGTTCAGAGCATGCGAAAGTCTCCATTGGTTCCATCACTGTGCCTTTGACTATGGATCCCAAGAAGTTGGGTAAGAGAGAAGCCGATCTTTGTTCTGACATGGTGGGTGGCCGTGAAGATGTTATCAGAGCCACAGCTGGCCAAAGAAGGGGAGGGACCTGGTTGGACAGCAGCCAAGCTGAAACCAGCTAATCAACCAAGTAATTTTCTCTGCTCCTCGTACAGTAAAGTAAAGGTGGTGCCCTCTTGTTTTCCAGTGCCATTTCCTGGAGTGAAACAGGAGCAGCTCTCTCCTAGAAGCCAAGCTGGTCAATCTGAAAGCTTGGTTGTGCAGACTTCACAGGAGAGCTCTGTTCTTCGAGGTAAGTCTCTTGAACTGCAGAAGCAGAGAAGTTTTTCTAGAAGATTCTCTTTTAACATAAGCTCTAGCTAAGCATTGTACAGGTATCTTGGAAGGCACTGTGCAAAGTTCTGGGCTACACCGGTCACCTTCTGCACTCTTTAGCCTCCTCAGACAAAAAATACTGTGAAGTTGGGCTTACACTGTGTTTATAAGCCTCACTGGGCCTCCCGAAACATCAAAAGATTTCATGGGCAAGAACCTTTCATGGTGGAACTCATAATTTACATGGATCTCTGGTTTTAGGAAGGTCACAGGTGATGGCAGAGTCCTTTTGTTGAAGTCATTGGCAGCAGCTTTCCAACCCACAGAAACAGTGCTGAGGTCATTGGCCCATAAATCTGTTTGGCTTCTGAAATACTACCTTTACTCTCCAAGTGCCCTGGAATAGGCCGGTTGTTCATAACAACTAAATGATTTTTGAAACTATCAGCTCTTCTTGTTGTATCCTGCAGGTACCGCCTTGTCAGGTGGAAGCATCATTAAAGGCATTCCTAGCACGAGGCCACCCTCAGAATCCACCATCACATATCGGGGTTCCATCACACATGTAAGTGTGGGGCTTTTCCAGGAGCGCACCAGAAATGGATTAGAGGTGTCTTGGTGAAGAGAAGAACCTGTGGTGTGAAACAGTCTTCCTTGCCTGTCCATGTAGACTTGTACACTCTCAGTACACATGAAAAGGTTGTTGCCCAAGGAAGTTGAGTATGATAGACTCAGGTGTGGGAAGGGATCCTTGAATTACAAAGTTTGAAACCCATTACTCTTAACAGTTGTCTCCTAGGCAGTAGAAGATAGAGGACAGTCAGTTTCATACATATCCCAGAATGCTTTGCTGTAGACTTACCATGAAACATAGTAGCAAAAACGTTTCTCGCCTAGTTGAAAGTCATTCTGGTCACCCTGCTGTCCTCAACCATCCTTCCAAACTTAATGCCTTTCCAATGTGATGGCCTTCAACTTTCATAACTAGTGGCCAAGGTCAACCCCTCTGGGTTGGGGTTGGGCGAGACTTTCCTGAGAACTTGGTTTTATCCATTCAGACATTTTTCGCCACCAATCCTCTAGAACATAGTGTTTTATCTCTGGTTATGATAGACCCTTCTGCTATTCATCATCCTAGGAAGGACAGGATTTTTTTATTTATCTCGTTGGCAGCACAATAATCTGGCAAAATTGCAGACCCTGAAGTGGTTGCCGGAAACACAACTTGTCTCATGGCATTTTGATCCTTGGCAAAGATTTATTCGTATTCTAAAGCGATGCAAATCGAGTGGTGCAAATAACAGTGAATGTGCTTGTCACTGGACCCTAATGTTCCTCCTGAGGTTCCAGAAGGTGTCGCTAAAGATTGGCCAGTGCACAAAACGGTGAAGAAGAGGTGGGATAGTTAATACTTGCTAAAGATCTTTGACTGTTCTTGAAGTCAGCCATATTGTCTTAGTCAAGGGATGGCCCAGGAGAAGTAAACTGATGTTCAGAATGTGGTCTTATTTCCGCGTGAGACAACCAGCGGGTGGAAACGCAAGCTGTTTCTCTTCCTTGGGGAGTGTGAACTGTGCTTTGAGTCTCCTGGAGCTCTTTCCAGACACTTTACTTTGGTGTGCACATCCACTGGCGCGCGCACACACACACACACACACACACGCAGAGCAAGGAATTCATGGTTCCCATCAATCAGCTCTCGAGACAGAAGGTCTGCCAAATGGGTGATAGCTTTGTACTGTCGAGTTATTGCTTTCTCTGGAAACAGAGCAGAGAGAACGTATTTTCCTTTGGGTTTTTTCCCCTGGCTGACATTCAGATCTTTAAAGATACATATGAGAACACTGGATTTCTCAGCTCCTTTTCTCGGAAGGATAAATGTCGGGTTGGGCTGCCATGAGATAGTTCTGAGGGATCTTACGTTACATTACTGAAATAATCATCTTAGTTAGGGTAGTTTATGTTTCCATCTATGCAGCTAGAAGCTTTTAAAAAAAGTTTAAAATAATATCCACTCAAGTGTGGCAGTGAAAATACTTTGCTACCACCTGAATACTAATGTTTGCTGCTTCTTGACGACATTTATCCTCGCACTGTGTTCTGAATATTTTACTTGGAAACATACTTCCCTGTTTATCAGGATCCTGTTTCCAGATGCAGTCGTTTCGATGTATGGTTCTGAATGGTTTTAATGGTTTTGGTTTCAGTGTTTTGCTTGAATGGTGTGCGCCACCCAGAGCCACATACATGAGACAGGCAGCTAGCTATATAAATTTAAGAAATTCGTAAATAAGTTCCCAAAGATTGAAGAGTTAATCTAGCAGAAGGGACAGAACTCTGCCACATTTCTCTGCCCTCCCTGAAGAAATATGGGAGGTATCCAATATACCATCCCAGAATCTTTAATTAACGCGAAGCGTCACTTCCCCAATTGCCAGTTTAGGTAGCATCAGATAGGATGGCTGGTTTCCGGCCTTAAGACAGCATTCAGAAATTATCTTGAGCTATTTAGACATCCCTGCGAAATAGCAAACCAGTCTGTTGCATGCAAAATAGTTGCATCCAAAATAATCCAGGCAAGTCGCTTCAAAAAGTCAACCCTTCCCCCCTGGGATTTGATCTCATTCATGGTGGTTTACGTCATTTGTGTCAGGATGCATAATACATCCTTTGCATTAAATCACATCATTTGCATCATAATGCGAATTCCCGCATTTGTATCAATTTGCAACATTTTGCATCGTGACGCCATGGCCCAAATTACATCATTTGCATCCATTTAAGTCCTGGCATCGTGACAAGAGACAAAAATCAGGGCCAGTGGTTTTAGGGAGGGGACGTGGGCAGTTGGGAAGAATGCATGCCCCCTCCCTCGGAATGGTTCATTAAATCAAGCTTTTATTTGCATACTTTTCTGAGTATAGACTTGCCTAAAATCTATGCATGTACTGTTACCACCCATGGTGATCTAGCTGCGATTTGCATCCAGTGCATGGGGGCTTTTGAACTGCAACTGCCAAAGGTCTCTCTCGCAAAGAGCACGCACCCCACATGGCCTAAAGGCAGTTTCTGGCCTGCTGGGTGCAGCAATACCCATTTGCAAGCCCAGGCTGCCGAAGACAGCTGTTTAAGAGAAATCCTTCCCTAGAGCCATCTGATGCTGTTCTCTTTTCAGTTCTCCTGTGAGCTTGTTCACTGAAGCTCATCCAAAGCCAGTGCTCTATGTTTTGTGTCTAATGCCAAGCCCTTCGGTTCAGGCACATCTCAAAGTGCCGTGTTTGTAATGCGGTGTCTCTGTTTATGTTGTGGAGGAACTCAGAGCCAGTCTGTTGGATCTGGAGATTCTGGAATTGTATTGCTCTTCACCTCTGAATTTGTACAGGCCGTCCTCATTTAGTGACCACAATTGGGAGCAGTCACTCGGCCATTAAGCGAAGTAAGTGAAACCGTGACTGTGCTTATGATCTTACTTCAGCTTTCCTTTGCTTTACAGACCTGCAAAGGTCGTAAATGCGAGGATTGGCCGCAAAGTTACTTTTTCATCACCGTTGTAACTGCGAATGGTCGCTAAACAAGGCAATAATTAAACAAGGACTGTCTATATCTTACTCTCTGGCTGGATCGGGTTCTTTCAGCCATCCCTCTGAACCTCAGTTCCTTGTAAGAACATTTGCACTGCATCCAAGCAATTACCCGTTTAGCACTGCAGTCCTATCAGCAGCACTAGTCCAACTAATGCCCTCAAGAGATCCATCGTAGGATGTGATGGTGAAACTTCTGCAGCTTGGCTGTTGCTACAGGACGTGTGTAGGCCACAGACATAATCTCAGCCTACTTTGAACACATTTAAATTCTAGAGTGATAAATGGATTAATGGCATAGTTCACCTAGGGCATCAGTTGCCAGAAGCCAACGAAGGGCCACTACTTTTACCTCCAGTTTTTCTGCAAGTGTTGCTCAGTTTTTACTCGTTTCAGCCTCTTGCCACATCCCACTTCAAGAAGTAAGCTGTCATCTCGCTTTTTACATGATTGCAGCTGTAGTTTCATCCCTAAAGTATGCACTAAGAGTTAGAATTGCAAAAAGCAACACCCTCTTCAATATCCCTGATTGTGAGTCAACTTCAAGACAGGGTAGTTAGTGCACTGAGCATGCTTATGAACATTTAGATGTTGGATCTCTTATCTTTAAACAGATTAGTCCTTATCTCTGGCAGGGGCGCCACAAAACAGAGGGCTTGTCATGTGTTTGTCAAGTCTGGTCCTGCAGCTGGATGGAATCTAAAGTTTGCTGGCCCCACCCAGTCATTTGGGGGGAGCGAGATGTTACTCAGTGGCAAGGCATGTATTTGGCATGCAAAATAATCCAGACCTGATTCCCAGCAAATCCAAAGATCAGAATGTCATTAATCCACCTCTGATTCTTGAAGAATGGATTTTGTGACCCAAGATTGACATTGGGTAATGCAGTGGTCTAAGTCAGGAGAACATACACTCTTTTCTGCAACCAGATATTTGTTTTGGCATCTGAGAAGTATACCTGACCTGGTTTTTCAAACAAAGGAGAAGCCTGTTTTAAAGCACAGAAATCCCCAGGTCTCATTCCACAAGGGCCAAAGTAAAGGAAAAGAGTCTTGTACAAGCTGGAACATTGGTAGAGAGAAATAAAAAGTGATGGTGGAGGGGAACAGAGGGTGTCGAAAGGGAGATGCAGGATGTGTTTCTATGGGTGTGTGAATATACCTGCCTTCACCTCATCTTAACCCTCTCCTTCACAGAAGGTTTCCATCTCTGGGTCCTTGACTAGCTCCTAGCTCTGTGGAATCCAATAGTTGCCTCTTCTGCTCCTCTTGTCTCCTCCTAATGTTAAAGAAAACATAACTTCCACCCCAAAACTGGTGCTTCCAATAATTAATCTGTAATCTTCTGCCTGTGGCAGGTGACGGGAAGCAGAGTTCCGAGCTGGTATTTGCTCGATATTGCTTTCCTCTGTTCAGTCTGTTTCTTGGAACACGGCCCTCCTCTGCCTGGGCCTGCGATACGCATGTGTGCAATCCTGCTTTGCCATTTCTGCCTTAATTGCTTGTGACACTGTTAAATAAGACTCTTGGTCTCTTTCCAAGGGCACCCCGGCTGAAGTGCTGTACAAAGGAACCATTACCAAAATAATTGGAGCAGACAGTCCCAGCAGAGCGGAGAAAGCAAGAGAGGAGGCCTTGCCCAAGGGACATGTCATTTATGAGGGGAAGAAAGGACACATCCTGACCTACGATGGTGAGTCGAAGCTCACTTTGACGGGAATCCCACTGCCTGGTGCCACGTGGGTGGGGAATCTCCCAAGGGAATATCAGTGGGTCCGTGCCTTGGATTAAAACAAGGGGGAGGCAATGCAAGGTTTTGGAGTGATGGAGAAGTCCTTCAGATGCCTGCTGAGTCATTGCTTGGCAGTGTGGGACCGAGTCTGTTTGAGCAGCGTTTATGAGCTCCTCTCAACTCACCCCTCTCTTCTAACCCACCCTAAAGGAAGAAGTGAGAAGCATCTGCATCTAGGATTACATTCACTGTGATTTATTGTTACATCTGTCTAGAACAAACCGGATAGTGTATGGTTTGTTTAAACAAGTCATGATCAAGGCATGGTTCTTAATACTTTTTAAAAACAGAACATGGTTTAATCCAGTCTTCCTCAACCTAGAGCCCTTCAGATATTTGGAACACAGCTCCCATCACCATAGACTGATTTCCCAAAGGGACTTAAATCAAGAGACTCCCCCGTCCTTCAGCTTACCGGAAGACTTGGCCAACAGAGTAAAATTTTCCCTCCGTACTTCTGGCCCTCTGATGTGAACTGGAGGTCTGCAAAGGAAGGCTGGTTTACAGACTAGGCAAATCAGAGTTTAAATTTAGTGTGGGTGTCTTCTCTGCCCCCATGACACATCAGGATTAGCTGCAACTTTGCAGAGTTGATTTTGTGCATATCTGTTTTATCAGACTGCGTCATTTGGGTCTTGAGTACAGCCGAGGGGTGAAAGAGTGCTAGATCTTGATCTGCGGTGCCCTCAGATGCTCTTTTGCACTCTTGCAAATCATTGCTCCTGTGGGTTGAGTGTCCCTTTGGAAGGACGCTGTTTCTCCAGATTAGCATTTTTTCCGTCTGTTGCAGCTTATCTTTACCACAGGGCCAAAGCCAGGCCATTAGAAAGGCAGTCCCATAACGGCTGTTTTTCAGACAAAGGGCAACTTTCAGATGTAAGCTGAGCTAGATAAGAAGATTGCTAAAGACCTCTGACCGTGAAGCTTCATCTTCGTCTTTTTTCACGGCATCTCCTAAGTTCTCTCCAAGGACTCCGAAAGACGTTTGTGGGGCATGCTAGCAAAGCAGCCACCTTGGTGTGTTTATGGATCCTGAATGTTTAAGCCAAGCACAAGAGGTCTCAGCCCACAGCTTGTGCTCTAAAAAAGAGGTGTTGAAACATGGTCCTCTCTGGCTCCACTCCGTTCTGAGTGTTGTCGGTAGGGTGCTTCTAAACAGTCAGAGAGCTGGGGTGGTGTAATGGTGAAGGGGTTGGACTAGAAGAAGGGGAATCAGGTTCTAGTTCATCCTCAGTTATGGAAGCTTGCTGGGTGACTTTGGACCTGTCCCTGTCTGTCTCCTCAGCCTCACCTGCCTCTCAAGATTGTTATTGCAAGGAACGATAGAAATAGGGCATGTACGCCATCGTGAGTTCCTGAATGAAAGATGGGAGATACATAAATGAGTTTTGCTCGAGAGGTATACGTTGAGCAAGAGTTGTGCTGGCAAGGAGAGCACACCCCCTTGCTTTCTGAACTGGTGGAGACCTGCCTGCGTGTCAGACTAACGCTGGTTGACTTTGTAAGAGCTGTTTCCTTTATGGAGATGGAACAGAGCTGAAAATTCACAGGCTACCCCTGGGGTTTTTCAGCCAGATCTCCAAGCCTGCCTTAGACACAACAGAAGCTGCCTGTCCAGCTTTCTCTCGGAGTAAAGTCCTCAGGGATCAGACAAGACAGATAAATCTTCCTCCTCTTACGCTCCTGTTTAACTGTTGCCCCAGAGAACAAGTGTTGAACGAGGAGGTTCAGCCAAGAGATGTCCAGGAGACCCTTGGCAGAGTCAGCCCAGATGTCGAGGGAGATCACAAAAAATAACCCAAACAAACCAGAGGACCCTTTAGGGCTTTTTTCCCAGGGAGGGCTGGGGTTTGTTGACCTGAAGTAGCCACGTGGACATCTGCTGTGCCAAGGAAGAAAAATCCCATTTTTCCAAAATGAGGTAGGGCTTTCAGATTCTCTTAGCTGCGGCTCTAGGAAAGGAACTGTCAGATCCAGAAAGGAAAGATTTGGAAATAAAGACATCTGTGGCTATGTGCTCAGATGGGCAGGAAGGAGGAGATGGGGGGGGGGCTGGCGGAGCGGGGAACACCACCCTGCTGGTGCATGGATGCCATGATGATACTTTCCAATAAAAGGTCTCTAATGAGGCAAAATTTTGCAGCGTCTCCGAGCTGAATTGTACAAGATTGGTTATTCTTACTGCTAATGACTCGTCTGCGAAGAAGGGAAGTGTTTACAGAAGCTTTTTCTTTCTCTTTTCGTACCTCTTTGCCATGATTGAACCGGAGTTGGCAGGGGGTGGGGGGTGGGCATCTCCTCTTCTTGCGCTAGAAACACTTTGGAGCAGATGTTCCTTGATGACAGGATGCAGCGGTAACTTTCTGGTGCGCACACACATCCTGCGTCTCAAAACTTTTGGCTCCTTGCTGCATACGGGCTGGGTGATTTGAAAACGAGGGCAGGCAAGGGAAGAAGAATACAGCTTTTGTGTCCCCCGGAATTCCCTCGACTGGTTGCTGGAGGAAAACAAAACTGAATGGACAAATGGGCAGCCACAGGAGAGTTTATTTCATAATTGTTTTATATACTGGGCATATATGCCACTTCAGTCATAATAAACTCTGAACTGCGTGCCTCCCCGGCACAGTAATCAGATTAGAAAACAGATATATAAAAATGTGCATCGTCCAAAACACCCCAGGCACTGTTGGTGACAAATCGTAAAACAGCATGGATTGATTATGTGCCATCAAGTCAGTGTTGACTCTTAGCAACGACGTAGATAGCTTTTTCTCCAGGAGGGTCTGTCCCCAACCTGGTCCTTCAAGGATTCCAATGATGTACTTGTTGCTACTCTGAGTCCATCCCCCTTGCCGCTAGTTGTCCTCTTCTTCTCTTTCCTTCTTCCTTTCCCAGCATTAGAGGCTTCTGCAGAGAGCCGGGTCTTTGCACTGATTGACTAATTATGTGCCATCAAATCAGCGTCAGCTCTTAGCAACCCCATAGATAGATTTTCTCCAGGAGGATCTATCCCCAACATGGTTCTTCAGATCTTCCAAGGTGCCCTCATCACCGCTGTAATTGAGTCCATCCACCTTGCTGCTGATTGTCCTCATCCTCTTTCTCTCCACCTTTTCCAGCATCAGAGCCTTCTCCAGAGAGTGAGGTCTTTGCATCCTGTGTCTGAACATAAAACAGCATATTGCATGTCGAAAACATGCTGAAAAAGCCAAGTCTTTATAGCTTTTCTGAAACTTGGGAGATTGGGGCTAATTTAATCTCTGGGGAGTTCTGTTTGAGGGATGTGGAGCACCACTACATAGTGGTCCCAGAAGAGGACTTCTGATATGGGGAAGGACCAGAAAGGGCCCTTCTTCTTGATCTTCAAGGACAGGCAGGGTGGAAACCATCAGACTGTCCCTAAGGGTTTTGTTTTATGATGGAGAGCAGAGTAGCAGATAAAGATGGAGAGTTGTGGAAGTTTCATATGACCAGCCATCATCTGGATTCAAGATCTTCAGTTCCTGCTTACATCTTTCCTGCTTTTGGGAACAATAGAATAAGTTTGCAGTTTCTTGCTGTGCGTTCAAGTCCTAATGAACGCTAAAAAACGGCCCAGGAGAAATTTTCCAAACGCTTTTCAAGGTTTGATTGCGTTGCCGCCATTCATCTCTTCAGATTACAAAAGACAAAAAATGATGACTTGGTGCCAAATCTCAGCCTCGGTAAATGAAAACAGTTGCATGAACCGGCCCCAAGGTCAGGAAGCGAAGAGTTCAGAGCTTGCCCAGAGATAAAAGATGGAAATTCACTTCAAGTTGGGGCAGGAGATGCAGCTGATTGAGGAATCATAGATGAAATGGAGTCAATTTCTAGTCCTTTCCCTTAGTAGAGGAAAAGGTTTTCTTTGCTTGTCTTGTTTTTTTTTCCCTCAAGTCCATCTTTCCACTTTTACAAATGTGGAGGATGTTTTGAACCATCTGTTGATTCAAAATAAGAATAGAAAGGCGTATTTCTCACCATCAACCAATCAGTTTGATTCCTAATTCCTAAAAGAAGCCAAAAAAATAAGTGAGGCCATTAGATTTCAGGGCAGGAGGTCCTGGAGACCAAGCCAAAGGCAGGGGACCTTGAAGGTACTCCTTTATCAAACCTTCCCTGATCATGACTGAGTGGTGGAAGAAGTTGGAGGAAGTCGAGTCATGAGACCATCAAATTAGAAATGGCCAATTGGGGAAAAAAACATATTTTGGCTCCTCCTTGATGAGTTAGGGTGGGTTACAACCTTAAGGAAGTATGTTGAGAAGAGCTTGAGTGCCTTGTAGGACTTCCATTTCACCTTGATGCATTTCCTCTTCTTCCTTGTCTTTTCCTCTTCCAGGTGCTGTTGCTACCCAGGGCCCTAAAGAGAACAGCAGGAGCGCAGGAGGGACACAGGAGATGACCGGCACCAAGAGAACGTATGACATGATGGAAGGAAGGACCTCCAGGGTGTTACCTGGACGAGAACTTTCCTCTGCTAATATAGAAGGTGGGATTTAGCAAACACCTTGGAAGCAGTCATATATTGATAAAAATATTTAATTGCTTGGGCTTTCTTAGATCTTTGCCTCTACTGGATAGAAAGAGGGAGAACGTAGAGATTTCCCTGGAAAAATTTCTTTCTAGTTAGAAGGAAATTCATGTCTGCCTTCTGTCATTCTTTCTTATGAGGAAGCTACCGAGTCTGGATGGTAAAAATCCATACAGCCACCAGATGGTGGTAAGTTAGAGGTTCTGTAACACTTTGATGTCATCTAGAAGTCATCCAGATTATTACAGCCCAGATCTGGAGGTGCTGATGGTGAGGGTGATCTTGTCTTTGTGATACCGAGTGAACTAGCCAAGTTGGCAGTTACTACCAAACAATTCAGAGTTGTATTTCCAATGATGGACCTTCCAAGAAAGATGTGTTGGGGCTGACGTTCCCAGAATTCCTCTTCCTGGCTAAGAATTCTGTGATTTGAAGTCCCAATGTGTCTGGAAGGTAGATCTATAGTTCTTCTCAACTATAATAAGGATTATGGTTGTATTGTTAGCTGCACAGTCATTTCCTTAAAATGGGTGGCCATTTAAATTTCCCAAATAAATAAAACACTGAATTGGAATCCCCTTCTTCTGCTGGTGGTCAAGTCCTTCTAGGTATGTGTTGGGAAAGCAGATAAAAATAATACCTCCCACATCTGGATCGGTAATATACTGGACACCTTTCAACTGATATTCGTATCAGTGAGTAGAACCTCCCTTATAGCAGATGACTGTAGATCTCCAGATTCTTGTAAGTGTTGGGCTATTAGCAGCTTTTCCAGCTTGGGCAAAGCCAGGCTTGAACGTTGGCAAGCTGTGCTGTGTATATTTTTTCTTTGGCCGGCCAAAAACTTTCCAGATCGTTCTCCGTTTCTGTATGTTTGCTGTAGGAGCAAAGTGCAAACTGGAGTCTCAAGGCATAGGGTCAGTGTTAAAAAGTGGGTCACAGGATGCTTGGATTTCCTGGACAGGATGAAGCTGCCATCGCTGT